TTGTGAACAGTCACTTGTGATCCTGGCATGGTGATCTGACCAGAGTAATATTAGAGATGAACTGAAATCTCAGCTTTTGCCCACTTAGTCCTCAATACAGCCTCTCAAACACCATTTATAACTACTGAGCACTGTTAGACCCACATGCCGGAAGTTGTGGATAACTAATAAATTTTCACACTTAGTGCCTGTAGTTCTCATGCTTAACATTATTTCCCAGGCTTATTAGGCCCAGCAGAGAAATTCACTTTTTTCCAAGTACTTACAGCTTCATAGTCTGCTAGCTCTAGCCTTGCTTTGTTTTGCATTGTCCGCTTGCAGAGGTAAACAGCTGGAACAGAATAAAATGACACAGAATTTGCTACTACCTCACAAACACAGCAGATCAGAAATCTAAAGGCTTCATCTCTGTTTTACTGCTAGATTTTTTTGCTTTGATTTATCCCTCTACTTGAAAAAGCTTTAAATATGGGATCAATGCTACCAGTATTGTAACAGAAATGATGGATCAGATACAAAGGTTCATTAAATAATAATAAAATCTGCTTTATGCAACAGACAGACATCATATGCAAAATGCATGAGATACTCGAGGTCAGGTTTTTTTAATGGCCAGGGAACTAGCACATTAAAGAAAAATAGCAAAAGCATTTTAAAAACTGTATGTATAAGTCATTATGCGTAAGAGTTTTACAGGAGCTGCTGCTGTATTAGTCAAACATGTTTTTAAGAATATTAATACATGGTTTTATTTATTTTTATGCTATATTTAGTAATAGCAAACTTTCAACCTAAGAAGATTTTAGCTAAAAAATAATTCCAGAAAAAATTCATGTCTTATACAGATTAGTCTGCTATAACCAATATTTAAAAATAGAAAATAGTGAGACCAAAAAATGAAAAGCATATCATCTATTAAATATAAGAAAAAATATTCTTTCATTTATTTTATAAATCCAAAAATCCTTCAGCAGACCTGTTCTGTCTCCACTTCAGACACAGCAGACTCTTTGCTAATAAAATGTTGAAGTACATTTCCAATAGACCTTATTTAGCAACAAATACTTCACAACAAGTCCAAATATTTTGCAGCTTCACCCACCAGTAAGACAGTGAGTGCTGCACAATTCCTTATCGTGCAACATTTACCCACTACATTGCTTCAGAGCACCTTCTCATGTGCGAGATGGAGGAATCTTTTATCAGCGTAGGTAAGAAAACCTTAACGTATCTTTTGTGTCTACACTCAGCAAAAAGATACCATATTTACTGGTTGTGGTTAGGAATGTTCCTGCTTCCTGACTGCCAGCTTGTACACTACAGGAACAGAGAGAAATAACTTCACATAGGAACCTAACTCTTGCAATCATTAGGAAGAAGGAAGTGCTCATTTTAGATATAGTTTTGATTATTAAGGTAGTCAAACCAATTATAAATTACAATTCCATGGAAATATTTATTTCTGACAAGTCACCTGCAAATGCATGCAAACCCACTCCAGTGAATGCCCTTTTAGTTGAATTGATTACAAGCACTTCTAAGAACTCTAGCTG